GCAGACCGGTGGGCAGGCCGCAGATCCTTGAGCAGGCCGCAAACCCGTGAGCAGGTGCAGGAGAAGGAAAATCTCCGTTGGGCAGGTGAAGAAAAAGAGTCCGAAAGAGCAGTGTCCGCGCCAGTTTTTATAGGGTCCGAGCTGGGAACTGACGTCACGAGTGCTCAGACCCATGCAGGTACCATGGGAGTGTCGCCTGCTCGAGGTGCCCGGTACGACCCCGGGGGGGGCTGCAGGGCCTGGGCACGGGGCCTGTCCCATTCGCACACCCGCGCTGCACCTCCCCGGTCGGGGGAGGGGACAGGCTGGCAGTGTGCCCGGGGGGCTCCTCTGGAGCTGCCGTGACTCACACACACGTGCTTGGCTCCTCTCAGCGTGGTGCATGCCCAGACATGTTCTGCCCAGCTCACACAGCTCCTCCACGTGTGCAGTCCTCCATCCAAGGCTATCTTTGATACAAACATTCATGACTCGGTCCTTCACATGTAAGGAATCACTCTTTTGTCAGTTTTACCAAGCTGTCATTCAGGCAAGTCTGTTCTGAAAAACTATAATACTGAGACACTTGAGCTGATGCTCAGGTTCAGGCTCTGACATTGACATAACACAACAGAATATGCTGTGGTGATACTGGCTTGTATCATATAGCTTTTGCCATGTTAACATCAAGTTCCTTCTGCCTAATATGATTATGCTATTTTCAGCTGTGATACTAGATTTCTTCTGCTAGACATATCTTTATCACCTCTGCTCTGAAGCATCTGTTATATGTGACGTGATATCATCTTCAGGATGCAACATAGCACTTTAACAGGGTTATCTGGAACACAGAGAAATGAGCAGAAGTGCTCTCTTCACACCTAATTATTTTGTGCTTGGGCTGTGTGACAAATGCTGTAGAGATTGGCAGTGGCAGGTACACTCATCTGTGTCTTATAAGTCATTTATTAAACACTATGAAATTTCAGAGGGGAACATGAAACATTCAGGGAAGGTGGTCCCTAGGCTAGTGATCAGAGGAGTCTAGAAGAGGAAAAGCAGTCTTTGGCAGCAGGCTGGCCAACTTGGTGAGGCAGGCTTTAAACTGAAGGACTTGGGGGGCAGGTCCAAAAAGGCAATGCTCATCCTATCCCATCCAACTGGGGACCAAGCCAGGACAACCAGAACTGCCACAACTGTTCCTTAGCTGCCTTCCAAGGTGAGAACCAGAAGGCCAGCCACCTCAAGGGTGTGTATGACTGGTGGATCCATAGCACCTTTCCAGGGAAACCTTCTTGCTCGATCAAGTCTCTGAAATGCCTGTACACCAGCACACGGGGTGTGGGAAATAAACAGGAAGAACTAGAGGTCTGGGTGTGGCTGCAGGGCTATGATCTTACCCCAGTTATGGTGGGATTGCTCACATGACCAGAATGCTGTCATGGACAGCTAAATCCTTTTTAGGAAAGATAGACCAGCCAAGTGAGGTGGTGGAGTTGGTCTTTATGTGAGAGAGCACCTGGAATGTATTGTGCTCTGCCTAGGGGGACATGAAGAACAAGTCAAGAGCTTATGGGTAGAAAATAAGGGGCATGCTAATATGGGTGCCACAGTTGTGGGTTTTTACTACAAGCCACCTGATCAGGAAGTCTAGGAGGCCTTCTACAGACAGCTAAAAGTAGCCTCACGATGACAGGCTCTGGTTCTTATGGGGGCCTTCAGCCACCCTGATATTTACTCAAAGGGCAAGGCAGCTAGGCACACACGGTCCGGAACGTTCCTGAAAGACATTGATGATAACTTTTTGACACAGGTGGAGGAGGAGTCAACAAGGAGAGGTGTGCTGCTGCTCCCTGAACTAACAAACAAAGAAGGTCTGGTTGGGGATGTGAAGGTTGGGGGCAGGCTCAGCTGCAGTGACCATGAGATGGTGGAGTTCAGGATCATGCAAGGAAGAAGCAGGGCAATAAGGACTAGAACCCTGGATGTCAGCCTCTTCAATGCCCTGCTTGGAGGAATCCCCATGGATTAGAGCTCTAGAGATGGTTAATACTAAAGCACCACTTCCTTCAAGCTCAAGATCAGTGCATACATATGAGTAATGAGACCTCTTGGAATTAAATCTGGCAAGGGATGCAAAATACAACAAGAAGACTTCTTCAAGTACATTAATAGTAAAAGGACGACTAGGGAAAGTGTGGGCCCACTGCTGAACGAGGTGGATGCCTGGTGCCAGAGGATACAGAGAAGGCAGAGGTTCTGAATGCCTTCTTTGCCTCAGTCTGTACTGCTAAAATGAGCCCTTGGGAATCCCGAGGTAAGAGAGTGTGGAGGAAGACTCTTCCTTGATTGAGCAAGATCAGGTTAGAGG